TACGGACCTACCTTAATTAAAAAGATTTTATCGTGAAATAAAATATACCTACTGATAGATTAAAATTTGTTGCTTGCTCGTCCATGCCGCCTTTATCTGATCATTTTAAGACAGCTAAATTTGGAAGTCATTAAAAAAACTCTAAATGTCCTTTATGAATAATGTAAATTTCAAAACGTTTCGCCATCACTTGATCAATGCTCTTTGTTTGAACTTGAGGTTGAGAAATTATGCCATCGAGGTATATCCATGATTTTATGTGCTTGTGTTATACAGAGTTTTATTACTATATAAATGATCACATAACCTTTTTTTAATGCAGTATTTATAATTTACTTTACAGCTCAATCTTTTAATATACTGTTGAAGTTGTTTCCCTAATTATTCCTCATATAAATCAAAGACATTTGATTAAAAAAGCGTTTTTCTGTAGAAAAAATTAGTAACTATGCATTGCGTCAGTTACGAACTAAGATTAGTCACAGAATTAGGTCATTTATTATACCTGTACTTGAAATTGTAAATTACATATAGGTCAAACGTCAAGGTCACTCGGTTAAAACTGATGGTACATTTGGAAGGGTCTTTCCCCGGGTTACGTACAATTTCAATAGGAAAGAACTTTTGAATCCAAATTTTATGACCAATTTTAAGTAAATTTAAAAATTTCGCAAAAGAGTTCAAATTTGAGAATCAAATGTCAAAATTGTAGTATATTTAGAAAGGCCCCGTCACAAGAAAGGCAATATCTCAGTTTACAATATTCTAATATTTCAAACAACCAAAATGAATCCAAATAACCATATTCATATTGAATACCAAAAGTCCATAAAATCCTTACAAACAGAGATACATAGAGGGTTCCAGTAAATGTTCAATCAAGCATCTTTCTTTACTCCTCACTAAGATATTAACAGTTATATCAGCGATAAGTTACATAAAAAAATTGAGTTAAGTTTAGACATTTAATTTTATGTCTATTTACCGGGGGCCGTAAGTCAGCTCATCCTTTAAAAGAACCAACTTTTAAACTATTTACGAGATATATCTCTTTTAATACTTCACAACCTGCCTCAATAAAAATGTACAATGCCAACCAGACCCAACCTGACAGAACGCAGTCACAGAGCAGTCCCGGGGACTGCTTTCTGCCATTGCTAAAGCAGCAGTCCCAGTGCAGTCCCACGGCAATCCTAGCAGTCCCCTCAGTCAAGCCAGAAAGCAGTACCATGAATGCGAAGGGACGGGATTTATTATAATGTTTGCGGAGCTAAATCATAAATTAGTTTTTTTTTTTTTTTTTTTTTTTTTTAATAAAAAATGAAACTATAAAATGCCATTGAAATTGAATCTGAGTAGTATTATCAAATGTAAGGAATTGTTACATTTACGCGACAACCATTAATTTCTGAACAATACACGCATAAAAACAATTTGAAATAATTTTATTGAAGGAAAAAAAAAGACTTTAACACCTCTGAATTACACGAATATTTATTCATAATCATGTGGTACATTAAACTTTCATCAAAATAGTTTAATTCAGTTTTAAGATTGTTTAAAGTCAATCACTCTATGTTTACTTAATTCATAAAAATAACTTACCTTAAAAATCCATTATAGAATGCTCCTACATTCTAAATTCCACTAATTCTGAAAGTCTTTGATTGCAGTCTACAATTTATTGATTTTGAATAATGAATACGTTGAAGCAACAATCACCTCAGAGGGGTTCAGTAATTTTATTGTGGAATATATATACGATGGTTCTTTTTTTTTTTAAAAAAATATCTTTAGAAATAACGTTTACAAGATGTATTGTGATATTTAATGCACAGTTGCTTTAAATTTAAAGCCCAGCACTTCGAAGATCAGACCAAACTGCAAATTTGAGAGTAATTATGAGGCTTTATTTAAAAACCCGTATGAGGACATTGATCTACTGACATAAAAGCTTATATAATGAGCGAAAAAGGTTTTCTTGTGCGTTTACAAGAAATAAGAAGAAAGTTCTGTTTAAAAAAAAGTTGATTATCTCAATTCTTATAATGATATCTTATGCAAAAATTGTATTAGCTAGTCATAGTTTACTCAAATCACTATTACGTGCTGAATACACGATAAGGTTTAAAATATAGTGTATCAAACTGGAACAAGTTTTAACTTTAGTTGAAGACATTGGGCGTTGACTAATTATCAGAATCGTGGGGTGAAGAGTGATCTGAATCACCCAATATCGCTTGTCGTAAATACTTTTATTTTTAAATATTTCTTCATGCAATCCGCACATGAAACAACGGGAAATCAGCAGAGTCTGTATATACGTCATTTATATGCTTTTAATAAATTGAATGATTTTAAATAAAATAACATTTTTACGATTTTTTTACTACTGTACATTATTTATTTGAAAAGATTTTTCAAATCGTGACATAAAATATATGTACTCACAGATAAAAAATTGGTGATTGCTCGTCCACGCCGCCTTTACCCCCCGTTCACACATAGACGCCGCTTTTACTACGATCAAAGCGTTTCCGAAAACGTGGTTGATCGTGACAAATCGCAGGAGAAACGTAGTGAGGTCGTCAGTAAGGTCTTCATGATCGGACAGCTCTACGCTCTCACCACGCTTATATGGAACACGTTCAAAACAAGCGTAGCGGGATCGTGGCCAACAAGAATCGGGGTGAAGTCGTAAAAAGAGCGTAGTAGAAGCGCCGTAATCGTACAAGCAGTGCAGAAGCATTGTAGAGAGATCTTAATGATCGTAGTAAAAGCGCCGTAAGAGCGTAGGAACTTACCAAGCACGCTTATACAACGCTCCCTCTGCGTTCGTACTACGTTCTCACTAAGATCTTTCTACGCTCCTGATGATCCTACGAAGACCTACTATGACCTTACGCCGATCATATCACGACCTATCAGACAGGAGTTTGTTCTTATAGCGCTGATATTTAACCAATCATCATCTGTAAACTACATATAAATGGGGACACTATACTTGATGATCATTTACAATTGAGCATTTTCACATTTTGTTACAGTTATAATTGAAATTGTCCTTAAACCATGTGGTAAAGGCCGAAAACAAACTGCAGTCGTAAGATATGCATCATCGCTAAAATCGTACTACAAAAATCTGAGGTTGCAAGATATATTTACATCATCGCCAAAATCGTACTAGAAGCGTAATGCAAACGTAATATGATCGGCACCACCGTAGCGACATCGCAGTATAGTCATCTAGGTCTGTGTAGCGTCGTAGTATGGTCTTCAATGTCTTAGTGGCAGCGTAGCGTAAACGCAGTAAACACGGCCGCTTGTCGGCAACGGTCTGCGTAACATCGTAGTAGAAGCATGTTAGCAGCGCCTTTGACGTAGGGACATCGTAGTACGGTCGTAACAAAGACCATAATTTGTCAAACTGCTCTATTTAGACGCCGATCGGTTGCGATCTGCCCCGGTCCAAAAAAAAATTCAGATCGTGGCTTGATCGGTATGATCGCCGTAGAGTCGCAGCTCTGTGTGAACGGGGGGTTATCTAATCATTTTAAGACAGTATAATTTGGTAGTCATTCAAAACACTTTAAATGTCCTTTTTGAAAAATGTAAATTTCAAAACGGTTCGCCATAACTTGATCAATGCTCTTTGTTTGAATTTCAGGCTTGAGAAATTATGCCATCGAGGTATATCTATGATTCTATGTGCTTGTGTTTTACAGAGTTTCACTGCTATCAAAATGATTGCATAACCTTTTTTTAATGCAATATTTATAATCTACTTTACAGCTCAATCTTTTAATATTCTGTTGTTGATGTTTCCCAAAAGAACTTCCTCATAGAAATCAGACATTTTAACAAAAGCGTTTTTCTATAGAAAAAATATTAATTAGCTATGCATTGCGTCAGTTATGAACTAAGATCAGTCACAAACTTTGGTCATTTATTATACATGTACTTGAAATTGTAAACAACATATAGGTTAAACGTCAAGGTCACTGGGTTAAAACCCATGGTACATCAGGAAAGGTCTTTGACAGGATTTGTACAAGTTTAGTATGAAAGAACTTTTGAATCCAAATTTTATGACCAATTTTAAGTATATTCAAAAATTTCAAAAAAGTCAAAATCGCAGTATATTTGGAAAGGTCGTGTCACAAGTAATGCAATATATCAGTTTATAATATTCTAATATTCAAAACAAAATGAATCCGAATTACCATATTCATACTGAATACCAAAACTCCATAAAAAACCTTAAAATCAGAGAAACATACATGGTTCCAGTAAATGTTCTACCAGATTTTTTTCTTTACTCCTCACTAAGATATTGACAGTTATGAAGGAAAAACTTCAAGAGTGCTGTTCAACAATATACGACTTTCTATTGGTACCAATTACACCCTGTTATTAGCATACGTATACATTTTTGTATTCATATGATTCAACATTTGTTTAAAAAAAGTGAAAATATAAAATAAAAAATACCACAGAGTATGGCACATCCATTTTATATTTGCATCTTCTACTAGAAAATACGTTAATATTTATTTGAAAAAAAAAACAGATTTACGATAAACATGATTACTTTAACTTTTCAATCATCAACTTCCCTTACTTAATTTGCAGCAATATACCAATTTTCACCCAGTATATCTCTGTCAGTTCAATCGATACTCAAGCAAATGTTCTGCGTACCAACAATTTCTAAAACGATGTAAGTTACAAGGAGGTCAAGGTCAAGGAGGTGGTAAGTCGGGTTCTAGATCGGTCCCGCAAAAAACTGAAATTACTTGTTTTAAATCTTTTTCTCGATCTACAAAAAGATACAATGGTTACTATTATCGTTCACAACATTCTACATCCAGAATATTAACTTTGTAGTGAGTATTTGTGATGATTTTAAGAAAGAAACATTTTCGCTTTGTGTGACGCTGAACAAAGCTCACTCGTATGTGTTGTTAGAGCTCTATGTGTTGTGAGTGTATGTGACAAAAATGTCCATGACAGATACTGCAAACCTCTTTACTGAAAGCCATAGTGTGATCAACGGCACCCAAATGTGTGATGGTAGCGAAATTACTTTGGTAGAAATACATTCATTATTGACCCAAATGAATTCCAAATTGACAAATATGGAATCCAAAAATAACTGTTTGGAAGTTCGGTTGACCGAAATTGAAAAGAAAATTTCAGCTATGGGTGAAATCCAAACAGCAGTAAACACAGTATCCTCCCAGGTCCAAATGATGACAGAAGAAATGAAGACTATCAAAAATGATCAGAAAGAGCTAGAATCTAACGTGTGTTCTCTGGGCAATTTATTTGATTCAGTAAAAGACGCAGTAGGATCCAACACGAAGCAGATAAGTGAAAACGGAATGAAGCTGGTTGAAATCAGAGAGGGAAAAGGTCAGCAAGATCAGAAGACCAGGGAAGATACACATACATTGAATGAGGCAAGTGTCAACCTACGGGAATCGATGACTGATCTCAAAGCTCGCTCCATGAGGGACAACTTGATATTCAGTGGTATATGGGAAGAGAAAAACGAAGACACCGAAGCAGTGTTACAAGAATTTATTTATTGCAAATTCAAGTCTGGTTACGAAATTTCGTTTGAGAGAGTCCATAGGATGGGGAAGTGGAGCGAATTTAACGAATTCCCCCGCAATATAGTGGCTAAGTTCTCTTTCTTTAAAGACCGAGAGTTCATACGGACACGTGCACCCCAAAAGTTAAGCGGCACTCGTATCTGGGTCAATGAGCAATACCCCCCAGAGATCGAAGAAAAAAGGAAGAAGTTATATCCCGTCATCCGACAAGCCAGGAAGGATCACAAAAAAGTCAAACTTGTTCGGGGACACTTGATACGTAGACGGCAAAGTTTACATTCCACCGCCTGATCAGGCTTATCGATTCGTGACCAATCAGGGGAAGCAGAACAGGATCAACACTGACCGACAGGCCAACAAAAGACCGCGCCAAACGTCAACTCCAGATCGCGACGGCTAGGGGCACGAGGAAGAGCAGTCTCCGAGCCGACTAAAATTACTGACATTAAATGTGTGCGGGCTCAGGCGTAAACTACAGTACCCTGAATTTTTAAATTTTATCTCGGAATATGACATCTTGTGTTTCACGGAAACAAAAACAGATAATACTGACGATATTAATATACCAGGATATTATACTTACATGAAAAATAGATTTGATGTAGCAAAGGTTAAATCTGGCGGGGTAGTTTTAGCCGTCAAAGTAGATTTTGTTAAATTTTTTACTGTACATAATACATGTTGCCCATATTTTTACTGGTTTTCACTTGCCAAAAGTTTGTTTAATCTACCAAATGACATATTATTTGGAGCTGTATATATACCCCCTGAAAATACAAAATATGCATCAAAAGATTGTTTTCTAGAAATGGAGAGAGAATTGTTTAATCTCTCACATAACACTGATTATACCTGTTTATAAGGTGATTTTAATGCCCGTGTTGATTTTAATGCACGTGTGGGTAAATTGCAAGACTATGTAAATATCGATGAATTTTAAGCCGACCATAATAATTGGGATGAAGAAACAACACAAACTATAACACATGGTAGCATTTTATGTGACACAAATATTGAACTTAATCGTGTACCTGCAGATACTACTTGCAATAACTATGGATATAAATGCATCGAATTTTGTCAGAATAACAATTTATTTATTGCAAACAGCAGAGCCGATGAAGATAAACTCACGTGTAGAAGTAGAAGCACAGTAGATTATGTAATATGTAGTGTACATATGTTAAGAGTCCTTAAAAATTTTTACGTCCACGATTTTTGTAACTTATATTCCGATGTTCATTGTCCAATAACATTTGAACTAGGAAGCCTAAAGGCAGAGACCCTCTCAACCGATCAACCGTGTACAACCGTGTACAACCAAAACAATAAAAAGCAGTATTTATGAAATCCGGAACAATTTAAAGTAAATATTGATGTCGAGAAATTGAAAGAATTACATGCTGAAATTTTACAACTAAGAGAAAATCTTGATACTGTTCAAAATAACGATATAAATAACATCTCTAGCAAATTATGTAGTTTATTCCTATCTTCAGCGGAAATTACATTAGATGTTAAAAACAAACCAAAATTAAATAGTAGCCAAAATGTAAATAGACCATGGTACAACGCATCATGTAGGACTGCAAGAAGAAAATTTCATTTGGCTAAACGCCTTCACAACCAACATGAAACTCCGGAAAACTCAGAAAATCTTAAGATCACAAGTAAAGAGTACAAGAAAACAATGGATAGTCTTTTGCCACTTTATGTCGATATTTTCAATGTGATTTTTGATACTGGTTATGTACCTGAAGAATGGCTCATTGGTATCGTTAAGCCAATATATAAAATCAAGGGTGACCCAACTCTTCCTGAAAACTATAGACCAATAACATTGCTTAGCTGTTTAGGAAAAGTTTTTACCAGCGTTTTATTTGAGCGTTTGAATACTTTTGCTGATGAATTCGAACTGATTACTGAAGCTCAAACTGGCTATAGAAAAGGATATGGTACAATAGATAATATATTGATATTAGATTTTATGTGTAAATTTGTCTTGTTTAGTAAGAAAAAAACTTTATTGTGCTTTTATTGATTTTAAGCAAGCCTTTGATACGGTATGGCGATCTTGTTTGTGGTCAAAAGTGGTTAAAAAGTGGGATAGATGGTAAATGTCTAAGATTTATCAAAAATATGTATAGTGGTATAAAATCGATGATATGTATTGACCAAAATACCTTGTTTTTCATGTGTAATCTTGGGGTAAGGCAGAGGGAAAATTTATCCCCATTTCTTTTTAATTTGTATATTAATGATTTAGAAAATTATTTACTGCAGAATAATATTGATGGGATTAAGAGCATAAGTGAGAAAATAGAAAATGAAATGCAGATTATGTTTAAATTATTTATACTTTTCTATGCTGACGACACAGTTTTACTATCTGATAACCCTGATGACTTACAAAGAGCGTTGAATATTTTTTCTGATTATTGTGACCACTGGAAACTTCAAGTAAATACAGACAAGTCTAAGATAGTATTTTTTTCTAGGGGAAGGATCCCCCAAAACATATTTTTGTAGAAGCACCAATTGAAATTGTGAACGAATTTAAATACTTATGTTTTATCATGTCCCGTAGTGGTTTTTTCAAAAGTGCCAAAACACACTTAACTAAACAAGCTTCAAAAGCAATGTATGGAGTACTTAGAAAGATAATGTATTTTAACTTGCCAGTATATTGTCAAATAGATCTTTTTGACAAAGTTATAACCCCGATTTTGTTGTACGGGTGTGAAGTTTGGGGCTACGAAAACATAGATATTTTAGAAAAGGTACACTTGAAATTTTTGAAATTTGTTTTGCATGTTAAGTCCAGTACCCCAAATTGTATGGTGTATGGGGAAACTGGGCGATATCCTTTAATAAGACGTATAAAGGTACGAATGATTACTTACTGGGCTAAACTTTTGATGTCACATGAGAGTAAGCTGACATACATAATGTATTGCTTTCTTTATTAACAATTTTCTGACGGATCATTTATGCACCCATTGTTGAAATGTATAAGGGATATCTTGAATTCCTGTGGCCTGTCTTATGTGTGGATAAATCAAAATTTCTTTAGTGTTACATGGTTAAAATCTATTGTGAAAGAAACGTTGTTAAATCAATTTTTACAAGACTGGCATATGAACATAGAAAATTCACCTAAATGTTTAAATAACAGGATTTTCAAAAACAATTTTGTACGATAAATTTACTTAAGTAAACTCCCAAAAGACTTAAGAATTGTATTAACAAAATTTAGAACTTGTAACCACAAACTCCCAGTAGAATCAGGTAGATGGACTAATACTGATAGATCTTTAAGAATATGTAATTTATGTAACAGAAATACTTTGGGGCCGGATGAATTTCACTATATAATGGAGTGTCCATATTTTTTGTCTTTACGGGTAAAACTTGTTGATAAGAAGTATTGTCTTCATGTAAATACTTATAAATTTGAGAAATTATGTCCATCACAAATGTTGATTCACTGTTTAAACTGTCTTTGTTTGCTAAATAGATATTGGCCTGCTTTTACATATGTAGTAACTATTTAATTGATACTACACTTCCTCACGTGACTTTGGATTTTGTATATAATTATGTAAATATGTTCCTGTACCTCATATACCATTGTATGGTCTGAGTGTAAATAAACAAACAAACAAACAAACAAACAAACAAGTATAATTGTCAAACAATCAAGGATATCTGCTGCCTCGATTACAGTCATTATTTCGTAAGTTCTATGGTCGATACAATGACATTGCCAGGGAATACAATTTATCATTAAGTCAAATGCTGACTGACTTTTAATTACTGATGGTTAGGCAATTATTTACACACTGAGTCACCCACGGATCTTTCCATGATTTCCTGATCTTGACAAATAGCACACGGCAAGTGTGACCGGTGTGCGATGGATGGTCACTCCACCATAGCACCTCATCCCAAGTGATATGTACATACACATGTACATGAATGTACCTTATTGATATACATGTTTGTATAAAAAAAAGTTAAAGACTCAATTTTACGTTAAAAATCCCAAAATCTATCGATTAAAGATCAATCATTTACCGTTTTCCAATCATTAAAAAACAATAACTTCCGATTTGATATACAGATCAGCTACCTGTGCTACCAGAAAATTTAAATTTGCTTGAAAACAATTGCCTTATCAGACGTCAATCACTCTTATGTACCCGATTTGTGTACACGCAGGCTCAATGTACAAAATCGTGTTGGTATTTTTATTTCAAGAAATAATTAATTGATAAATGATTAAAACATTATAATGTGCTTTAAAAATACTTGTTTTCAATCTTCACGGTAGTATTTTTAAGCGATATATCGTCCAAGACTAAATTTCTAACAACTTTCTTACAATATCTTTTTACCTGGAAATATTTTGTTAAAACATATAGAACAAAGGAAGTGTGTAAATCCAACATCTTTCAAATGATATCTCGAAAAAAAAGGACTGGCCCCAGAAATAAGGGATCTAGTGGGGTCAGAAGATTTTTTAAAGATATCTTTTAAAGTATAGAGAATTTGGTATACATAAAAAAAGCAAAGCTGTTCAAAATGTCATGTTATTATCTGTCACTGGAAGTATAAAACTTAATTTTTCGTCCACCGACTTCACTTCCTGTCAAACTGAAGTAGCCAGAGCCAGAAAAGTCTTTCTGTCGCAATTATGAACATATATTTTGGTGCTTTAGATCATTGGAGACGTCATAACTCATTTTTTAAAATTAAAAGTTAGTTCCAGTAAACAGAACGGAAGACCTACTCGTTGCTTTGCAACGAGCTTTGCTCTATTTGTTATTATTGTAACTATATTTCACTTATTTTATTGTTTTCATACCCGTCTTTATTACATTTCACTTTGAACTTTTATCATTCTTCATTTTGTCCTTACATCTATGTTGCTTTCTTCTTGTAAATTCGTTCTATTTTCTTTTAAATTGATACAGTTTAAGATACACCTTATTCCTTATTTTCACAAAAAAATTTCAAATAATTATAGAAGAAAAGGATTTTTCCTCTTCAGGTGTTCACAGTTAAAAAATAATATGGATCCGTGTCACCATCTTCAAACGTCGCTTTATTTTTAGATAATTTATTCGGGGACTTCTCAGTTTCAAATGAGGTTGACAACTTTGAAGCCAAGTTACATTTGATTTAAGCAATGTGGAATAATGATAATTGCAGAAGGAAATGTTTTACAACTATTATATTTATAACTATTACAAATAACATTTCCAATAGGCTGTGCTCCTATTTTGTAT